CAATGTGCCGCCGAGGCTTACATTTACATAATCAATATTAATTTATGCTAATTACAATGACAAATCATATAGTATAAACTGTCGTCTACAATTACTCCAAGGTAATGTGACTTTAGACATCAGATCTCGACCAAGCAGCGATAGACCAGAACCATCTGTAGTGTTTTGTACACCAGAAATAAACAATAGAAACTAGAGACAGACAAGATCAAAGTTGACACGACGCCATGCTGTTTCGGAAGCGTGCTTTTATTATAGATACGAGGCTACCACAGGTAACCCAAACCAAGGATGACTATAATAAAGCTACATTACATCCACCTTTCTATTTTACAAAACATAATGAAAACATGTTCAAACAAACAAGCTACTTCTTGTAATACACAATCAATACAAAAAGTGTTAATGTTTCTAGTTGGGCTTTTCTTTTTCTCTTTTATCCTGAATATCGCTTAGGAGGTCTCACCACCCTGCCGTTTCGTGTAGTTGTTAAGTTCTCAGTGTTTGTAGGGGACTCTTGTGTATCCTTACATGTAGATGGTTTTGGTGAGCTTAATACATCAGGGGTAGATTCGGGAAGCTTTAATTTCTTCCAAAGACTCTAGAGCGTTCTCTGGTACCTCTTTCAGATGTCTTCTATTCCTCCTGATTTGACCATTGGGAGTAGAAACAACATAACTTCTGGTTTGTGGATTGCTAACAACTGTCCCATACATGTATGACTTAAGATCTGATCAGTTTTGTCTGATATCCAAACTTTGTTTCCAGTATTGAGAGGATTCAACTCCTTAACACCGTGATGGTTGTCAAAATTCCTTTTCTGCCTTACCTTTCTCATGTCATCCTTGGCTTACACAGTGATGTAATCAGGAACTGTAGGTCTAAGCTCAGATGACACAATAGGCACAGTTTTCCTAAGTCGTCTTGACATCAACAGCTCAGCAGGGCTGAAACCATGATCCAATGGAGTAGATTGGTAGTTTAGGAGTGCTAGGTGAGGATCACTGCATTTCTTCAAAAGTGGTTGCGCAGTTTGGACAGCTCTTTCAACATGTCCATTGCTTTGTGCAGACCTGGGGCTGCCTGTAACTGAACAAAACCATATTCTCTAGCAAATTCTGTAAACACACTAGAAGAATATTGAGGGCCATTGTCTTTTACCATAGTAACAGGGATACCATGTCTGGTAAACATAGACTTCAAATGATTTATGATGCTCAATGATGTGGTGCTACACAACTTTGCCAACTCCACGTATCTTGAGTAGTAGTCTGTCACTACCAAGTACATATTTCCTTTGTACTCTTAAAGATCACTTGCAATTTTCTGCCATGGTAGCTTTGGTAGCTCTGATGGGATTAGAGGTTCAGCAAGATTCCTTGCATTCAGTCGACAGACGCTAAAATTTTCTATACACTCTTGTAGCTGCTGAGCCAATCTTGGCCACCACACTGACTGTCTTGCTCTGTCACTGCAGCGAACAATACCAAGATGTCCTGAGTGGAGTTTATCAAGCATGTCCATTCTCACCTAGGACGTCTTTCTCTATCTGTGCGTATCTCTGTTCACAGCTAGAYATAGAACGTGAATGACAGACCACTGGGCGACAAGACATGTCATCCTGTTGTTGTTCTATGACTGCCCCTAGACCATACGGTGAAGCATCTGCAGAAAACTCGTGTCTCTCGTTGAGGATCATAATGTGCCAACACTGCTGATTCACATGTAAGTAATTCCTTCATTTTTTTGAATGCCTGTTGCTGATCAGATCCCCAGGCCCAGACTCYCTTAGTACTGAGGAGGTCTCGCAGTGGCGGTTTTGATGTTTTCGCCAATTTGCTGGTAAACTTGCTCAGTTGGTTAGCCATYCCTAAGAATYTTCTCAACTCGTGTATGTTCTCTGGAGCAGCCGTRTCCTTTATTACCTTGATCTTTGAAGGATCAGGTCGTATTCCATTGCTGTCCATCACATTTGTCTAAGTTCAGGGTAATTCCTGCCGCTTCTATCCTTTTCAGKACCTTGTGAAGACGCTCATYATGCTACGGCTGTTTGCGGCCTAAAACCAGTGTATCATCAATCATATTCACTGYTCYCTCTTCGTTTGAAAAGATTGAAGACATTTTCTTCTGAAAATGTTCGGGAGTTAAGCCGAAAGGCAACATATTGTAAGATTAACGTCCAAATGGAGTGATAAACGTTATAAGGAGCTTTGACTTTGAGTAAGGGTTGTCATACGTATTCCATATATGGTATTAACTAGCAAGCGTATAGTGGTCCCTAACAAGCGAATAGAAGCACCTAACAAGCGAATAGTGAATAGATTTTTTGCTGACATTTACACCTCAGGCGCGGATCCAGGACTTTGAAGTGGGGGGTGAATTGCTAAAATAATGTAATAAAATGTTGTCTCCTTATTTACGTCAATACCAACCGACAAAGCCATATCTGTTGCCTTAAAACGTCTTGAAGCAGATCAAAGCCTCGATGAAAGAACACGATTGATTCAGCTGAGATAATTGAGCTTTTGAGTTTTTGCCTTGGTGCCGCGGACTTCCAATTTAAAGACAACTTCTACCACCAGAAACATGGAACAGCAATGGGATCACCCGTCTCGGTTGTAGTAGCTGATCTGGTCGTGGAAGAGATCGAAGAAGCGGCAATATCGACGTTTGCACAGCCACCATCACTATTTAAACGATATGTCGATGATACCATTACCCTGCGAGCAGAGTGTATTTCCTTACCTCAATAAAAATTCGCGAAGGAAAATAACACTCTGCCGAAACCTTGTAATTTCTTATTTGAGCATGCGCGGCGGTTGCTTAGAAACTGATTGATTTCCACACTTCATTACGCGTAATTTTCGCTTTCGGTTGACCTCTGGACTTGTGAGCACGAGCTCCGCATTTATCCGTATCATAACTATGATCCGTTCTTCTTTAAAAAATATCATGCACGAAAGCGCTCTCGCAAGACTTGATTTGATCGACAACAACTGCCTGTTATGGCGATACCACTTAGGGTCATCATCACTTAGAGTAGTTGTTTCGTAGGAAACTCTCTTGAATTCGGATTACTACAGCTTATTTACTAGAGGAACGATAAGCTGATATATCAGCGATT